AATATAGTTATGTCTTAATATTTTTCTGTTTTCTAATTCATTCCTAGTGTGTCATTAATGTCATTCTTAATCTGCCATTTATTTTAATGATTATGTTTATCATTTACAGGTGCTACCTGCTTTTTTATCTAAAGATGCTGCATTTTATAGTGATTATTTTAAATTCATTTTACCATTTCCTCTATAATTTCTTTAAGGATTTTCATAATGGCTCCTTTTATAAACATCAATAACTATATTATCTGAAGTATTCTATACTTGTTTCATTTTCCTTCCTCTTGATGATATCTGATAACTTATTTTCTTACGTGGGGTGGGTTATCTTTTGCATAATTTCATATTTCATCTGAATTTGTTGGAATCACAAGGAGGGAGTTGGGTTGAAGACAATCTGTCAGAAAGGGTATCTTTTGCTTTTGCCAGAGCTATAAGGGTGAATGTTTATTTATCCACATCTTGAATTTTATAAATTGCACTTCTAAGCCAGTACAGTCTGAAGAAAGGCTGCTCTTACACTCCGGCAAAAATAATCTCCATACGGATAGAACTGATATAAGAGGGATCATTAGAGGGAAAAATGAAAATCATAGAGCCCAAGAGAGCCCCTGACTTGAAGTTGCTTGAAGCGTTGGAAGATCAGACAAGGAGAACCACTTTCTGGTCACTCTTCCTTGAGCATCTCTGGACCTGATCAGTGGTTAAATAAACGGAAGGGCTGTAACTTTCTATAGGTAAATGCTGACGACGGCTGCTACTAAAAACACTGTCTCATACCTGATCACTGGAGCCATGTTTATACTTTTCTTTCAGCTCACAACAATTGCTGCTATTTTCCTTATTTCTCAGTTCAATCACAAATGACACAGACAAAGGAGAATTTTTTCCGCTCAGTTAAATGTTCCACGAAATCAGATCAAGTGTTATATCTTCCTTGACAATGTTTTCCCTAGATTTCATTCCACTTTTACATCTAGAGGCTTTTATGGTTTGGATATGGTATGAGTACATCTCCCTAAGGCTCACATTGGGAAGCTTGTGCCTCCAGTGCTGCACGGTCGGGAGATTGTGGAACATTTAGAGTTGAGGCTTAATGCAAGACCAATGAGGTTCCTGGGGATGCTGCCATCTGCCTGACTGACACTGGTCTCACCTAGTTGTTCCTGTAAGAATGAGTTGTTATGGAAAGTGGCCCTGATCCCTGATCCCTCTTTGGCCTCCCATCTTGCCATTTTACCTCTCCCTCTGAAATATATGTCCACTATTGTGAGGCCATGTACCATGAGGTCATAGCTCAATGCCATAAGCTATGCTCTTGAACCAATACCAATGCCATGCTCTTGAACCTCCAAAACTGTGTGCTACATAAACCTCTTTTCTTTAGACATTACCAAGCCTCAGGTATTTTGTTATAGTAACAAGGAATGGACTAATACAGATTTAACTAATTGACAGCCTCTATCCTAAACTCATTAAAATAATAGTAATAAGACAAATAATAGAAGTCATAACCCTAAAACATGTTTTCCTCTCAGGTTACTTTCATCTAGTCCCACACATATATCCACTCACTCATTCAAACTTATGAAGGCACACACATTTACACACACAAGATGCAGAGGGAAACAATATTTTATACTATGTATTCATTTCCTTCAAGGTAATATAGGCTGAAAGAAATTCAATTTAAGTCTGAATATTTACACTTTTGCTTCAGTCTTCTCAGAGGGTATAACAGTTTATATACTAACTAGTTTTGTTATCAGAAAGTCTTAGCGCTTGTCAAAAAAATTGGTTTTCTTCTCCAGTGTTCACCGTGCCTCTCATAGCACTAGCTCAGGGTGTGTACCTCAGACCAGTGGTATCCAAATAAGAATTAACCCACCTCATATTTGGCAAAGTCTCCTGTCCACTGAATGCAACTTTCAGAGGATGTATCCTAAGACCCCAACCTTCTGCATTTTGTCTTTTCATATACACACATACTTGTGAGAGTTTAATAGATAAATTAGGTACAAGGAGATATCAACAACAATAGCTACAATAGAACAGTTATAGTAATATACTCTACTAAAATGTTGTGTTTGGGAGCTATTTCTTAGTAAAGTAAGTTTTGTTTTTGTTTTTGGCAAAAAAGCACGGTGATACTGCAACAGTTGACCTGATAATCCATACTCCAGCAGTAACTAGCAGGTGGTGTATACAGGGTGGATACGCTGAACAAACGCATGACATGTCACATTTGAGTAAGACTGAGCAGGACAGTGTGAGGTTTCATCACACTCTTGTGACAGCATGCAATGTGATATTTATGAATTGTTTGTTTCTGGACTACAGTCTATATAGGTAACTGAAATCAGGGAAAGAAAAACAACAGAAAAGGAGGAACTACTGTAACAAGTATCACTTGCTTTGAGAAAGAGATCACAGTTCCTGAAGGCTGAGTGCAATTGCTTTCAAAAGCAATCATGGTCTAAAAATGTTTTTAGATGTCACTAAGTGAAATGTGCCAGTTTTTTTACACATTTTGCCAGAAGTGAATAATCATCCCTTATTTCCTTTTTCAAAAAGCCTTGATCTAGATGGGAAAAATGTAGAATTAAGCTTTTTACTGCATTTGGGTGACTGCTATAAATAAATCTGATGACATTTACAAGCCCTCTTCTCAAGGAAATGCACATCGATGTGGAGTTTTAGGAGATCCGTGGACACCCTGAGGCCTGCACATGGGCTCCAGGTCATGCTTTTCTGAACTAGATGCAAATGTGAAATTAAGAGGACAAATGGACTAGTAATAATATCATTTATGGGGGAATATGTCCTATATATTACCCATAAAGAAGTTACTTGGATATACTCTGATTTAAATATATAAAGTGGGCTGGGGATTTAACTCAATGGTTCTGCTACCTGCCTCGCAAGTGCAAGGGCCTGAGTTTGATCCCTGGTTAGAAGGAAAGAAGGAAGAAAGAAAGAGAAAGCAAGCGAGCAAGCATTTCAAAGATCTGCATTACATACATTTTTGACACAAGCGCAGCAGAAATGTACTTGTCTATTTTAACTGAAAAATTCTCTTACTATAAAATTAATACCTTTTATGTCACTAGAAATAAAGCTCAGAAGAATATTATGACTGTGAGGATTTTTTTTTTTTTTTTGTACCAGGGATCAAACTTAGGACCTTGTGCTTGTGATGCAGGTGGCAGCACCACTGAGCTAAATCCCTGGCCCTGTGAAAATTTTAATAGTGGTAAAGCAACAGTCTCCATTTACCTGCGTAATTTTATTAGTTTTCTGCTATAGTTGAGGGGTTGAAAGTGCTGAGAACATGTCTACTGAATATATTTGCCAGACTTTGTAACATTAATGCTTACTCTACTAATTTGCAAGCAATTGTATTAAGTTTAAACTTAGGCTAATGCTGGAAATGGCCAAATGTCTTGTGGTCTGACTAGTAAGAAAATGAACTTGTTCTTTTCGGATCTTGAAAACAAGTGTCCTAAGTAAGAAAATGCTCTGACTTGAAATATGAAACCAAAGTGAACTTTAACTTGAGATTTTGTAGCTTGGGTTTTTGTTTATTAATTTTCCATATTAAGTTTTCCATAGAATGAATAACTAAGTTCATTCACTTAAATAAACTTCCTCTACTCTTATTATCCTGTTAGAGAACATATTCAACTGGAATAAAAGCTTTTCTCATTTAGGGTCTCCATATTAAAACTGTTCTAGAAGGGAGTCCAGGAAATGCATAAGATTGAGTGTGATTATGTTAACTGGGGCTTGTAAGAGACATTAAAATACAATCTCAGATATCTTTTTTATTAATTTTTCATCTGATTGTAGAAAAACTGACAGAAATAGATAAATAATTATGGATAAGTATTTTTAACAGGTAAAATATGAAAGATTGGAATTTTAATATGACATTGGTACAAATGAAAAGAGTTTGAAAATAGGCAGAGAAATATGCAATTCACTAAAATTCACATGCACATGAGAATTTTACAGTTCAGTAAAGGAGACAATTATGAATAGATTCCTATCCAACCCATTAGAGAAAGTATTAAATGCTATTAAAGTTCAGGAGATAAGAGCTCATATATGGAACATCAAAGGGAGTTTCCTGAATTTCATGAAACTTCAGCCACACTTTGAAAGAGGGATGATATTTGGTCAACAATTGATGTGCAAAGTACATGAAAGCAATACTTACTGTGAATCAAAGCAAGGAAAAGATGTACAAATGCTGGAGTATTTTGTGAATTAATTGGATGTTCGGAGTTAGTTACAAGAAATGATGAGCCACTAAAGGTAAACAGGCTGAGATCATTACAGGGAACATCCTGTATCCTGAGCTACACAGAATGGACTTCATTCCACAGGCAGTGAGTGAATGTGATGATAATTAAAAAGGGGCGTCATGCTCCAAGCCAGCTTCCCTACTACACGAGAAAGGTCAGCAGCAAAGGATTCCCCTCGTGTGTCACTCCCATCCTGGGTTTCATTATCTCTTGGAACAGAGTGTTGGTTTGAAAACAAGTAACATAGAAACATCTGTTATCAGTTAGCTTTCTATTCTAAGATCACGGTGACAAACATATAGCGCTTGAGGTTGTAGTAAACAACATCAGTATTTTTTTTTCCATAGAAAATGAAAAAGGACAGTGTTATACCCAGCACACCCCAAAAAAAAAGGATCAGAAAGTGAGAATTTATGGTAGTGAGTACTAAGTCCAAGTGCACAAACATTTCGTAGGAGGCATGTGGTGAAACTTTCATGAAGATACGAAGTTAGTGAAACAAAACCAAACCAGTGCTGTTTACTACTCGTCTGGCATAAATCATTCTCAGACATGGGTCAGAAGCCTAAAATACATTCTGAGGCACAAGATTGCGCCTCTAAATACATAAGAATTTGAAGATGTAGAGTTACCGGAAGATTACGCGTATTTACACAAGCCAAATATCTTTGGTTTTGTAATTTTAAAATGAACTCTTACCTCGCACAACAAGGTCAGCAGAAGCAGAAGAATTGTCCACAATGGTCTGGGCGGTGCACGTGTACCTCCCTGCATGTCTCAGCTGCGCGTTCCGGATGAGAAGCTCCCCGTTGGCATCCAACTGTTAGCAAAGACCGCAATCATCCCAATTATACTTTTTTTCAGCAATTAGATGGGCATTGAGGATATACAATGTATATTGCTTTCCCTCGCAGAATGGAAACAATTTAAAAGCATCTGTTTCAAATATGCTAACTCTACCTCCTTGGTTAATTTACTGTTGAGGCTATAGTTTCTCAGCTGAAAAATGAAATGATGTAAATTAATTACTGAAGGCCCTTTTCAGCTTTACTGTATTGAACTTGCTATTATTCCCATGACTGGAAGGCTATAGTGACAGGAAACCGGGAGATAACACTGGGTTTTTTTGTTGCTGTTTTGTTTCTGTTTTTTTTGTTTTTTGTTTTTTGTTTTTTGTTTTGTTTTGTTTTTACGTCTTTTAAAGACAAATGTTAAGGTGTAATAATCTTAGTGCTAATATTAAAGTGGGTGAATACAACGCTGTTATGGCTGAGAAGAACTGCTAATTTGGTTTTTGCAAAGCTATCTTAATTGACTAATTTTGTGATGCCCCAGTTCATTTTACAATGATACTAAAAGTTTGCAAAAATTGTCCAAATGGACAATTCTATTCACATGTACTTTGTCACCAAAATACAAATTACATAAGCGTGAGGATTTTTCTTATTCAACACTTATCCCAACTGTGTGTAAGTGTTCTGTAGATATTTTTGTAAGAGGCTTGAGGGAATTTAGCTTCTGATATAAGGCACAAACTCGATTTAATTTCTAAAAATGGGCAATGTTTGTTGAATGCCTGTTCTGCACCAGGTCTAGGCTATGTATATATAACCCTATTAAACTCCTTTCCGACAACAGACCTCTGACATACATCTTACTATGTCCACTTTGTTAACAATAAAAGAAATTTCAAATACTGAAGTAATTTAATTCACTTCACTCAGTTCGTATGGTACTGAGAACACGCCAAGGTCATTTGTCATGATCTCCAAAAAGTACTTCCTTAAAAGAAAAAAATTGGCAGACTCAATTTTTAACATAGACGTTTGGTTTTAATTTTAACCAAAAATACTCATTTACTATTTCAATCATAAATATTTAGATATACAAAAGGTTGATTCATGAGTTAGGATAACACATACATGACAAAATCCTTGCTTGTGTGAAGTGTCAGGCCTACAGATGTTGAAAATTTGAAATTTTAGTGACTACGTGTGCATTGTATGTTCTGGTTCACAAAGGATTCTACTAATAGCCTTTCACGGTCCATGTTCTCTGCTGGTCTTAGCATTAAGATTGCAAACCTGGGCACTTGATTTAATTAACTGAAACAGAATATCAATATCTCTACACAAAGAACTTGTTAGTTAGCCACATATGCTGTTCCTTGATAAGTCGATCTCAGTAAACACATACCTAGAAGTTAGATAATTTAGTGGCTTTTGAGATCTTCCTGTCTCGCGAAGACTAGAACAGCCAAGAATCAAAACGGCTCTCAAGATTTGCATGAATTCCCAGAGAGGGCAGGTTTTGTCTTCTGTTCTGTTTATTTTTTTTATATGTTTATTTTGTGGTCATACAAAAAAAGTGCCAGAGTAGAAATTTAGCCTTTTTTATTCTTTATTTAAAATCTACTAACACAAAGTACTTCCTGGTAAAGTTGCTTACTGACAAAGTAAAATAATAGAACTGATTGTATCCCACGATGTAGGGTAAATTCACACTAAAATATATTGTCCATGAGCTACTTCTCTTCTTATCGGTCTTATTGGTCATAGTTTTACTAATTTTAATGACCCTCACCTTTCCCACTGCCTGAACATCTTGCTGACATTCACCACTATTCTATTTCTTATCTCTCTCTTTTTTTCCTCTTGGAAATGAACTATTTTTGCGTTATGTTGAGGCATTTAATTCTTTAATAGTTGCCTGGAATCCAAAGACAGCTATTCTTTAAAACCTTACTTTCTGCTTTTAGTTTGTCTATGTCTTCACCTCTTTGTCCTCAATCAATTCTAACCTGGACCCCACCTCTTCAACTCGTCTTACTTAATCTCCTAACAGCGTTTGGCATTTCTTCCTAAAATGTTCAACTTTTCCAGTCACTTCTAGCTTTCCAGAGAGTGAGGGCTCTCTTCTGCTCTTCTTCAAAGCCCTTATAATCCCTTCAGGAATTCTCAAATTTCCATTCTTTTCCACTACTGCTACTTCTGCCTTTGTCCGAACGATGCACGGCCACGACTTTTGAAGATGCAGTCAGAGTTGGACCGGGTAATACATGCAGCCCACGTCAATAACAGCACTCCCTGAACACATAATGAGGCGTTTCTTGGCAGCAGGATGAAATGTTCACTTTTGCTGCCTCCTCGTGTTTCCCTGCATTCACCTGCCACCCACGGCTCCTCAGCCGTGAGCAGCTCGGCCTTCCTGTGTGCTCTTGCTTTACAGACATCTCTCCGTACTGCCTGGCCCCACTCCTCTGACCCTTCCACCGCACACTAAGTACAACTTACATGGTAGGTTCCACGTCCTTCTCCTAAATGCAAAGCCCAGAATGGGTGCTACCCTTTGAGGGTTTTCACTGTAACTCTTCCCTTCCTACTGTAACGGAGTGGCTGGCACGTCTTCTGCTAGACTAATTCTTTAGAGAAAAGCCTAAGTTTTACTTGTATTACATATAACATCTGTAAATCACATCTGCCTTATGAGAATAATGCAGCAAACAAATATCAAATAAATGCATTAGGAAATATTTATTATATAGAATGTTTTCATTAAATACATTCTTTTAATAATATTACATGATTTTATTCAAATCAAATAGTCACGTTGTGAGATAAACAGCTGAATTAAGAACACTATTCTTTTCTATATCCTTGAGATCAACTATCTGTCAATAATATATTTCAAATTATATACTAATTTGATGTGAAAATGTAGTCTTTATAAAAGAATTTATAGAAAAAAAAAAGAACACTGTCAACATACGAGCAAACTTAAAATTTTTCCATCCATTTCTGTAGGAAGAATTTGGTCTTGTACCAAAAGATCTGGTCTTTGCCCTCAGCTTCCAAAAGGTAGTATGTAACATCGTTCTTTATCTCGGGATCATGAATCATACTGATTAGTCTTACCATGCCACAAAGAATAAAGACCCTCCACACTTGGGTCATTTTAGAGTAGGAGGTGAGTGTACAGTAGGGTTTGGGTCATACCAATTAGTGCTACAATGTAATTTAGGTGGGAGTTAGATTTCCTTGTACAGTCTTAGAGAAGAGGCTGACCATGCTAGAAAGAGGAACATTTTCAGTTCAGGTAGGGGCTTTGGGTAATGGGGTATCAGTGAACCCTGAAATGTAGTACCATGGCGCAGTTAGTCTTTCAGTTGTGCCTGCATGACAAAGCCCTAGTAAAAACTGTGGACGCTGAGGCTCAGCTATGCTTCCCTGGTTGGTAATACTTTGCACATACTGCCATACATCAAAAATAACAGAGTAATGCATCTTGACTCCATGGGGAGAAGGCAGCAAAATCTCTGGCTTTGGTACTTTGCCAAAGGCTCTATCCACCTCTGCCCTCAGCTGATATACATCTGCATCTTTTCCTCATAAGAAACCTTAACCACAGGCGTAACAGCTTTGGTGAGTTCCATGAGTCCCTTCCAGGAGAGGCAACCCCTGAGCTTTGGAACTGGTCTCAGAAATAAGTGGAGTTTGGGGGACTCCACCCCACACTGTATTTGACCTAACTTCTCATACCATACTAAATATAATTCACCTAATAGAGGAGGTAACATATTATCATTTATAATTGTTTTTTTAAATAAATTAGGTAAGCAGAGAGTAAGATGCTATATATATATATATATATATA